GTCACAAAGTATTGATGTTTTTAGATTTCTATTTTTAGATATTTTAAGAATAACTGTGCAATATTACTTTTCTATCTGCCATTTTCAGGCTACCTTTCAAAAAACAAATATAGATGAACATGTGACTCGTTCTAAACGAATCAAATTTTATTTTACAAAATGATAATAATAAGTTTTATTTACCGCCATACGTTTCAAATATTGTTTATCAATTAATTCCCTCTATATGGTGTACTGTTGGTCAAACCGAAGAGACTGATCACTCCAACGTATTTTTGACAATATGAATTACAACCGATACGAGCATATTGGACAATTCCGCGTCTTTGGCTATATGAAATATGTTTAGTATAAAATAAGGAGATGTGATATGATTACCAATGAGACAACTATCCATCAGAGACCAAATAACGTAGATGTATTTCAAATATACCATAAAGACCATTTTGTTTTTGTTATAAATAAGGCCGTTCGTCTTCTCAGTTAATTAAATGGTTTCCACATTTTGCATGTCGGAGCCCTTTTAAAGTCGACTATACGGTATTTGCTTTACTCATTGTTGAAGGCAGTACGGTTGCCTATAAATGCATAAATCCACTTCATTTGAACAGTGAATAGTTGTCTCATTGACATTTATACCACATCTCCTTATTTTTATATATTCAGTAATTACAATACAATATAAGTGTGAAACTTATTCAGGAATAATTACATTACATGTGCGTCTCATAAGAATCCTTACTTTTGATAGGCTGACAACAATCGAGAGGCATCCTACAGTTAGATTTTATATCCCATATAAAATTTTAAATTCATGACAGCACGCGCTTCATATACAAAATATGCTTCTGGTCCGGGGACACAGTTATCGTCCTATGATTTTCGTTGTCTACAAATAGAGTCCCTAGCGTGAACAGTGTATAACTTGCAAATTAGGGGGATGAAATTACATGTACCAAAAAGTTGGGGCATGAATTTTTAGGTAAAGTAGTGATTTGGTCCAGTTTAAATTGGTCAGAAATTAGTATGTCTGAAGCAGTCAAACTGAATTACAGACCCCCTTAACGTGAAATTGTCCATATTTTGAGTTAGAATCAAAAGACTTTTCTATAATTTTGATATAATTTGTCCCAAAAGTAGTACACTACACCGTAAAAATCTTTTTTGGATAGAGCAGGTGCGATTTTTTTAATTTGCGTTTTTTGTCTGTAAGAAATGCACTACGAAATAATTGTGTTCTCGGGCCTTCTGACAACGCCTTTACATCGCAATAAAATACAAACAGAAGCGAGGTTCCATGAGACAGTCAAATAAATATGTGAAGGGGTGAATACATTCTTTTACCTATCAGCATTCCATGTTTCCATGTCTTTCCGTTTAAAGGGGCACTAGCCATGAATTTGACAAAAAATAAAATATGATTTTTTTGTTGTTTCAAACATTTATAAAACGGAATAAAGAAATAAAATTCGACTATTAGCATTAAGATTGGTTCAATTTTGTCAAAATAAGCTTATAAACATTACTGGTATATAATAATTATTGACTTGCAAGTCAATAATTCAACTAATGTGAATCAGTATTCATGCAACGTTTTCATTTGACCTTTAGAGGAGATACATTGTAGGTGCGAACGTGTTCATCGTGTTGCTCATTCAATAAAAAGAAAAAAATGTCAACATTGAAAAGTGAAACAAGGGAGCCGTCAGGAATAACTATTTCGTTGACTGATCCGGCACACAAAAAATCCCTCTTATTCAGGTAAAACGATGATTTATACCTCCATCACACTAGGACCACGATCTCGCTACGACCTCAGAAATTATGAAAAATGTCGGAAGTCGTAGTAAGATCGTGGTTGTCGTAGTAAGGACGTGCCAAGGTATTCATAATCGTGCAGGTCCACGACCAACTTTGAACATGCTCAAAACATTCGTAGTGAAGTCGTGGCCACAACTAGTCGTAGTAGAAGCGTAGAAATGTCGTAGTAATGACGTCGTAAGATCGGGATTAGCGATATCAATTTATTGTTAAATTCTTGGTCTTTGGAATCGTATTTTACTACTGAATCACAAGAATACATATGCCCACTATTTTGATTAAAAAGGGACTGATGTCATAAATTAAATATTACCGTAGTACGGGAGTATAAACGAAAAATGGTAGATTTTTTTCATACTTTGCTAAAGTGTAGTATATATTGTGATATTTTCCAAAATATAAGAATGACAAGTCAGCGAGCTTGTTTTCAAGCGACAGATTGTGAAAAATAGCACATTGTGTATGGATTATACATAGAAAAAGCATCATTATGTGAATAGATGTTAACTCAAGAATTCTATAATAAAATATGAAAAGATAGCTGTTATATAATATCTTCAGCATATCAAAATAAAAATTGGGATCACCTTACGTTTTTTTCACTTCTATAACATAAAATAGGAAAATTTCCTATAGACTGCTTTATAAATTGTAAAATTTCTGAGCTACCTCCCCTTAATGCGATGTTAGAAAATTGAAATTAAGCAAAAGTATTCTACCTATGTAAAAATATAAGCATTTATCGAAAAAAAAAGAAAATTCTTATTAGTAAATTGCATTCTTGCATCGTAATTTGCAGACTAGATTGAAAAATCTAGACTTGTTGTGTTCTGCTATTTTACCATTCCAAGTAACTACAATACATTCTAAAGAGATTTGAGAAACGTTATTGTGCTTTTTTAGATTGGTATTATTTTGAAGGGACCCATCGAAAGTATTGTAAGCCCGTAGTCGCGAGGTACAAGGTTTTATGTGTTTTTCTTGAAAATAATATATTTCTTTTTTAGTATATTTCTAGATTAAAGATTTAATATTAAATTTAAGTCTCAACACTTGTATAACATAAAACAATCACACATATATATAAGGCCATTTTTTTTTTACCCCTTGAATTCGAAAATCAAAAAGTATCATAAATCTACCAAATAGCATCCTTCAGAATTTATAAGACATTAGTCTGCCGAACATCAATATTGATATTTTTGAATTTGGGCTGACATATTGACATAAGAGCTTCAAAGTTCTTACATTTTGTGCAAAACAGCAAAAACTGCTAAAATAGCCTTATTTTGAGATCTTGTCATTAATTTTTAGATATGAGCAACGGCTTTACCCAAAAAGATGTGTTGCTACAAAATGCGTTTTAAATAGATATTAATGTGTGTTAAACATTTTTTTGGGGTAAAGCTGGTTTTTTTTTCGTCAAATTTATACTTTAACCAAAAACAAGGCGCAAATTAAAACGTCAATTTTAGGTCAAATACGTAAATTTCATCATGTTTATGACGTCATAGTGACACCACAAGTGACATCTATGCACTAAAGTGTCTAGATTATATTAACCTATTTATTTATCAATAAAATCGACATTATTTTAAAAACTTGGCTAAGTTTATTGGTTTTTGGTTGCAATTTTAAGGACAAACCAAATGACTCTCATCATACCTCCTCCTTTGTTCTTCTGTTTATAATATGAGGGTCTGAATGGGGTCCTTCATTTCCTTATTCGTTATTTTTTTTACCATTTTTTTCTATTTTTAATTCATTCCCACCCTTATTCTCTATTCTTTATATTTAAGTACCCCATTATTCTCTTTTCTTTAGTTTGTTGGTCTATTTTTCTTTCTTCTTTATATTTTTGACATTTACCCATTAATCGCTATTCTGTAAACTCCATCTAAACCCTCATAATATTAAAGCAGGTTTTAACAATTGCATATCTTCCTTTTTGAATTAAAAGATAATTTTGTTGTCATTGAACACGGTATACCATGTATAATTATATTTTACTACTTTAGATGTTTTACGCCTTCGCTTCAATTTCAATCCATCGCCCGGATCATTTCAATTCAATCGAACAGTAAATTACGTAAATATATAATAAATCCAGCCAGACACTTATATCACTTTATCAAATTATGTTATGAAAAGAGCAGCCCTTCTTATTTACTTACATTTGTTGTTTTTCTGTCCTACTAGTGTAAACTGAAATGAAAATGGTATGTATTGTCTTTCTGTTAAGTATAATAAAATACTGTTTATGGTTTTTTTTGCTCCCCCCCCCCCCCCTCATCATTTGTGGGTTTATTGATAGAAAATGGATGAAAAATCAAATGATTTATGGTCAGTTTTTACATTTTTGTTACAGTCTTTTTGTCAAATTTGCTATCAACTACCACACCTTTTTATTGACCTCTTTGTTAGATTTATTTGTTGCATGTTTGTTTGTATTTTTTAGGCAGTTCTGATGTATGTTTACACAGTTTTGTTTTCTGCTGGATCCCAATTATTGTCACATTCACCTATTATGCTCACCTAACTTTGTCAATATGACGGAACTATAATAAACAGCTGTCATACAAGTGGGAGGTTTAGCTAGCAGTAAAACCAGGTTTAACCCAATATATCCTTCGGAAAGTGCCTGTACCAAGTCAGGAATATGACAGTTGTTTTTCACTCGTTACGTTGATTGATAACGTTTGATATTGTTAGTTTTATGGACTTCCCCTTTTGAATTTACCCTTGTGTTCGGTAATTTTGTTAAACTTTTTTACACCTGTACAGTTGTTTATTTAGCAGTGTCAACCGTATTGTGCTTGACGGAAAATGCACAGCTAATATTTTAGAGAAAAAGAGAATCGTGCGTGTTTCAGAACAAATTAATACATTTTTAGTGACAAATCAGATACACATATAAGTATACTTCCTTCTATGTCGAAAATTTACTTACACTTTCAATAAAATCTGTAACAAAACTGTGAAAAGAAAGTTGAATTTCGATATTCCCATACTGATTCAAAACATCTGTCAAAGCGATAAATACCAATTGAAAAAGGATCAAAGCTGTGGTCACATTAATTGAGGAATATACCTAACAATGACGTCACTAACTAATTAGAGACTGACCATATCGTATTAAATATGATGACATTGGCTTATTTTGCTCATAGTTTGCATGTCAATAAATGAATAACCATCATTTGCTTATTTTGTTTTTAGTTTACTTTTTGGGAAGATAGTCAATGTTATGAAGAATTTAAACTGGTAAGAAATATTTTTTTTATTGTTAGTTTTATTATTTATTATTATATCAATATCTATCTACTTCTAAACTATACTGTGTGCATTTGCAAGAACTGCTTGTAAACTCATATTACTTACATGTAATATTGGTTTATACCAGTGAAATCTTAAACTGATTTAATCACAAGATGAACCATTTCGGAGTATTATTCAGTAAGATCTCTAGTAATCTTAAAGCACGAAAGAAACGAATTCTATAAATTCACTGACTATCAGTTTTATTTAAATCATTGGATTGCTTTTTCGTGAAATTGTGTTTACTAAAAGGAAAAAATAAAAAAAGAAAGAATTAATTTCCGTATGAGCTATTATATACTTATTATATTTGATAATCGTTTAAGTAGTGGAATACAATTGAATCTTAGTGCGTCTGTGGCATTGGATAGCTTTAACTCGTTACATTGAAATACTATTTGAAAGATTCGTCTCAACTTTTTTACTTGATCAATAATGTTATGTGGACATGTCTTGTACTTGTTAGTTTGTTGTATATTCACCCAATAATAATATGAATTCATTTAAATTGATAATATTTGTTTGTTTGTAATGTTGTTTTTTTTTTTAATTTAAGGGGGGTCTCTTTTTCGCTTTGATCTTCCTTACAGATGAAATCCCTTTTAACTACACTTTTGCTCCAGCTATTGTAAAAGCGAGGCAAACGATACCAAAGGAATATTCAAACTTATTAGTTGAAAACGAGCTGACAATGTCATGGCAAAAAACGGAAAATACCAAAATACAAACAATAGTATACAAAATACAACTTAGAAAACTGAAGACTGTAACACGAACCCCACCAAAAACTGGTGCTCCAGGAGGATAAGCAGATTCTGCTCCACATGTGGCACTCGTCGTGTTTGCTCATGTAAGTATAAACCCGGTGGTAAATTAAGTCAAATTCGGTAGGTCACATTCGAAGATAAAAGGACGGGATTGTGCTTACGACAATTGGAACATTTCTATCGTTATCTCTGAAACAGATATTCCATAACGGTCAATCAACTCGTGATATTGTCCGGAACATTTTTCGAAAGGTTCGTTTAAATTTTTTTTTTAAAGTTTATTGATAAGCGTTTCTTGTCATCTTATTTAACGGCTTTAGTTTCTGTTTTTTTATTCGTAAATACGTGAGAGTTTGCAAAAATAATCAATGCTCTAAAACTCCGTTCGATTGTTCAGAAGTACCAATTTACCATCCTATAAATCAGTAGGGTCAAAACGTCGGCAAATTGAAACTTCTTCCAGTTATTTCTCAAGTATTCTCTTTCGAAATAACCTTTATCAGGTAAAAATGTATCATTGCAACTTAAGCTAATTCATAGAAACAATTATACTTGAAATAAATTGTGTGATACTTAAAGGTTTTTTTTTACAAAAGCCCAATATTATCATTTATTCACTATATATATATTTAAAAAATCTTTGATTCTTCAAACTTTTGACTCGCAGTGTATCCGATGAAATCTTACAGAAAAACTCTTAATTGGTTGCAATGAAATACCATGATTACCTGGTACAAAAACTCCCTTTTCAATATTAGTATTATTTCAGAGGTTTTCCTATGTGAATTGGATTTTGAATGCAACAGTTTATTTACTTGAAGAAAATGTTGAAAATTGAAATTCACTACTCTGAACGTCCTTTGCTTTCTAAATTATGATTATGGTAAAATGTGTGATGTTCAATTAAATATGGTATTTTTTTTCTCGGAATATGATATAAAAACAACCATCAATGTCTTTTGTTCAGGTAAATATATGGTTTTATCGACTTAGGAAAAACTGATATTCCTTTTTCTAAAGTCAATAAAACACTTGTTTCATATTGTTTCATATGAAGCAATCCGATTGGTTACTTACCCTGGTGTGAATAACAATCCTACCCCAGTTAAACTTTTTACACCCGGGAATAAAACAAATAATATTGAACTACGCACCGCTCCATGTATATGAAATGATACATTTACATTAATTTCCATGATTATAAACAATTCTATATGTAATACTAATATATTTATTTTTATATATACAAACCATTATCTTTTTTTTTCTATGCGCTGTTTTTTTCTTGGGTAGTCAGCAAAAAGACGTAACTTTTTATATTCACGTCTACTAAGATGGCGGCGAAATATTTGCCCGGTATTGCCCGGTATTAAAATTAGTAAAGGAACGCTCCATTAAAAATAAATACGTTATATCAGGGGTGTACGGAATTTTACACAGGTGTTGAAAATTCATCAAGATCTGTATATTTACCGATTGTGTCTTATTCCCAATTGTTAATTTGTTTTATTGTGTGTGGATTCATTGGTATGACAGGTGTTGCATGCATATCATGCTATGCCTACCCTAATGATGTACCCGGTCTTGCTCCTTGTGGAGTTTATTTGATTATCTCAGTTTTGGTTCTTACCTTGATTTGTTTCTGCTCCATGGATTTATGAGATTAGGACATCGGTAAAACTACTGTTGTTTCGAATCCATACAGAGGGTTAATTGTCACTTATATATTACCATTCTTTAAAGTCCAAATGGGATCATTACACAAGATGATAACTTTTGATATTCAAACTACATTTATTTTAATTTACAGAATAGCTAACATAATCATTGAGCAATTTCTGTACACTTAAGTTGCTATTTACCTTGTTACTACATTTTAGCATTTGACATATAGGGCACATTTTTCCTTCAAAAATTAGATAATTAATTTCTAGTGTTCGTTTATTATATATATATAAAAAAAAGAAACATCCCGATATAAATTTTATTTTAAAGTTTAGGAAATTTATAAACCTAAAATGAACTATGACAGTGTGTACGGATATGAATCACATGACATTACTTCAAATTAGATGTCAGCTAAATTGGTTCAGTTAATTGATCCCATACTGATCTAGGATAAACTTTTCGTATAAATCGATAATAGTAACATAATATTTAACCTGTCACTAACCTCGAAATCCATTTCAAAATCATATTATCAATAATAGAACAGGTCATTAATCACATGGCCAGAAGATTTAACAACAAAGTAAAGACTCATCTATGATACCAAGATTATAATTTGTTATGTATACGCCAGATGCTCGTTTCGTCTTCATAAGACTCGAATAAAATAAAGTTGAAAGGCTAAATCCAACACGAAGTTGAAGAGCTTTGCAAGCCTTAGAGTTAGTCAATGGGAAGGTATTTACTATGGAATCCGCATAATAAGTTTTGCCTCGTGCCTTTGATTTCACGATGTATGTCCTTTCCATTCAATAACCAATTCAGCACCAGCTCACAAACCGAGTAATTTTATGATTGATTCTTCTCAATTTTTCTTCACCGACCATTTTTAAGTGTTCCTTAAAGTAGTCGATTAGGAAATTTTAAATTTAAATCCTTACTCTTGAACTTTATTAAATAAACAATACATTTTGTTTGTTCTATGACGTTCAAGAGAATGGATTAAAATTCAAAATTCAAAATGACCTTATATAGATATATACATTGCGGTCATTTTTTTTAAAAGTAAACAGTGCTTTATTCACATATCAGTTGAATTAATTTCTCTTACTCTTTTTCACAGTAGCCACTTCAATACAGTCCAACCAAAAATGTTCACCGAAGAAATGTAAACAATTCTTGTTTTGCTGAAAGTATAATTACTTTGTCATTAGTGACCTGTTATCAACCTTCATTTATTGATTATCTCTTAAATTATACAATAAATAGTTGATAGTTGTATATCTGTATAAGACTATGTTAAGACTATGTTAAGACTTTCGACACAAACAGGCAGGTGATGTTTAATCTGTTTTGCATTTTTGCAAGTTGATAGATGAAGGATTGGTTTCAAAAGAAATGTAAAATAAATTAACACAAACAATCGAACTTAATGCTCCAAGAAGTCTGTATCGTTCCCTTGGATTGTGTAATTTCCTATATGTAGAGTTCAATACGAATCTTCTATGGTATAGCAACGTTATATTTCAGGTAAAGGCAATATATACAATAAATATAATTTAGATTTGGAAAACATAGCTCAAAAAACCCTGAAGATATAGTAATGACTACAGGTGTATCTAATGTCTAGCCCAAGGATGACTCATGAAAGCAAAAAGTTTATTTCCATTGGGTTCTTAATATAATAAAATACAATAAATAATTAATCATTCCATTATACAACAATAAATATTCTCTATGCATCAAAGCTTAAAACACTCGCATTAAAATTAATCTAATGAAATATCAAATATGTATCTGACATTGACCTCAGATTACTCATTTTTTTTTTTTTTTTTTTTTTACTTCGAACTTAAAATCAGCGCAAGTTAAACTCTTGACATTTTGATAAAGTGATTTTTCAAAAATATTGGTGAATATTTTCCCTCGTGTAATGTTATATTCTAGAAGGGACAACATTAATATCACGACAATAACTCTACAAAATAGCACCACTGCAATAAATTCAATATAGAAATAAGAAGATGTGGTATAATTGCCAATGAGACCACTCTCCGCTAGAGAAAAAAATGAAATAGAATTAAACAACTATAGATCACCAGTCGGCCTTCAACAATGAGCAAAGCCAATACCACATAGTAAGCTATTTAATGCCCCGAAATGACAAATGTAAAACATTTCAAACGAGAGAACTAACGGCCTGATTTTTGTACAAAATAATAAACTAAAAACAAATGTTATATAAATCACTGAATTACAGGCTAATATATTCAAGTATACTATAGCATCAGCACGAACAGAAATTATTTGTAGATTTCGAAATATTCTCATTTCGTACTAAAATCGGTAATGACCTCATACGAGCAAAGATATGTATTTCATTTTTTTCAGACGTGTATTATTTTAGTTATAAAAATATAATTTAAACATTGTTTTTTATTCCATACTTTTTAATTGTTTGCTAGAAAACATATTTTGATTTATAAGATTGTCATCAGAACTTATGCTGTAAGTTATTATTGTTTTCTTTCTGTCTTCACTTTTCTGTCTTTTGACATAAATCCATATATATATATTAAATAGATATACCATTCTATACATGCATGCTCATACATATATTTTGTATTATATTGCTATAAATGTTAAATGGAGAAGACTTCATAAGTCTGTTTGACTTGTGTCTTATCCAATTTGTACTTGAACGAATAAAATATGTTTAAACTAAAACTTATGCTGTATGATATTTACTGTATACTTCCTTTTAAGACATTATTAAAACATTCATATTGGTGAATATTGTTCCATGTGCAATACTATATTGAACCAATTTGAGTTGAAAGTGATGTTGGACATTCTTTACCACCATTGCAGTTTCCAAATAGAATAATTAATGTGTACGTCTTTCAATATCTCAAGTATCTTAGTGTGGAGGTCAGATTTTTGTTTTGATTTAATGTCCATACCTATCACATATCTCATACCTGAATTGTATATCCTTCCAAAAAAGAAAACTTGTATTTTAGGAATATATCTGTCGTAAGAAATGTTCACATATTTTTATTTAATTAAGATCAAATGTAAGATTGTCAAGTTTGTGAAAATTTTGAAGGATTTCAGTTTGACAAATAAGTTTTTTTCATTATTATGTCATTAGCAAAATGGTACTGTTTTGGCTTCAGTAACGGTAGTTTTTGTACTAATAACTCAATACTATATATTTCTCAAAACTACGTTTTTTAAACAAAACTCCAAAATGTCATGTTTAAAGTAAAAATAATTTTACATGAATTACAACATAAATTTTAAAATTCAAATTGTATGCTTCTTTGGAGTCGGAATACATTTGACTTCAAACAATCTTTAACTTTGGCAGAGATCTAGGAGATGGTTAAGTTATAAAGCAAATTTTAGTATAATCCATATACTGTTCAAATGTTGTCAGTCTTAAAGTGGATTCACAATGGAGAAGCTTGTCTAGAGAGTAAACTTTGGTGCTGGTTACGTTTCCTGTTTCAAACACCAGTTTGTCTGTTTTTCGGGGGAGAAAAAAGGGGAAACAAAGAATGAGAACATTCGTGTTAGGATGGGTCACTAAGATCATTCCTTAACTGATGAAGATAAGACCAGAATAGTGCTTCGGACGCATACAATTTATATATAAAGTGTCTTTTAGCATGGATTGCGTGCAAAATCATACGCGTATCAGCTACTGCAGCATGGTTTCTTTAAGGGTCAAAACGCTCTATCACACTACAATTTCTAAGTAGGTTTTTCAACAACCAGAAGGAGATGTTTTCTAAGCAACAATGTTTTTTTCATTATCACCATTTAATTGTCAAATACAAACATCAAACGTGTGACAGCAGTACTGATACGAATTTTCGTACTCCAATGTTACTGATTTCCTTTTGTGTGTAGCAAATACGTTGTGAACCAAACAAAACGATACAGTGCTTGAAGACGGATGACAAAATATCTATCGTCATCGTAATCTGCAACGGTTAAAATATTCTTATTGCGATCATTTGATTCTAATATCCAGTCCTTCGTAAATATTTTTTGGCATCAAAATATAAAATTCTAGTTTTCTTGAGCGTGTCCAAAAGCCCGATTATTGAGTGACAGGGCATCATCAACATATCTGAAAGTGAAATTAAAGAACTTTACAAAATGCTTTTTCTTTTTGTCATTGAGAAGCTTCTGTATGAATTCTGCTGTTAATGAGGACAAAACTAGTTGGCCAGTTGGGGTACACAATAAGTACTCATTGGAATACCGCTGTCTGAAACATCAATCCACCAACGATAAAAAAAAATCCAGCATTTCCATGATATAATCAATGTATTTTTTGTTGGAATCAGTGTGGTTCTCTCACTCATTTAGTTATTTCATGGACTAAAACAACGATTCAGGAAATGTTCGAACTTTTCACTGATTTTGCATTCATACGATAATACGCTTTAATTGAGTGCCTAAAAAAAACCCGAAGTATTTTGTACTCCATAGGCAACAATACTGATTTTTTTTTAAATGTGCTTCTTTTTATAATTAAAAAAACCCAGGACAATACAGTAAAGCGTGATATTAGTACTTTATTATTCTTTTTTAGAAATTGAAGTCAAATGGTGGCATGGCAATCTTCTTAGTAAGCTCGTTTATAGATCCATGTGTTTCAAAATCTATATTGTAAATGTCCAAACTAAAGCTATTCATAAGTAAATAAAAGATTATATCATACTACAATCACAGCTCTCCAAAGATGTTTTTCTTTTCATGAGTAGGGTACACGAAGGCCAACATAATGCCATGCAAATAAAATACTACTTGCTTTCCCTAAATATTGACCGTTTGGTTTGATAATATACAAAATGTGTTGCAAGGGGAGTGACAAAGATCTTTGTTTAACTTGCAATATTTTACCATTGGGATTCTTAATAGATATCTTCATAATCTATAATAACTACCATTTGAAAGTTAATCATTAACAAGTACAAAGATGTTTTAAATGTTTATGGCACCAATAGGTACTAAAGTGCAGTTATATGGACAAGAACATGTAGTGTGTGCCTAATTTAAAAAAAAAGATATGCTTTTAAACAGTTATAACTTGAAAAGTTTACAGAATAGAAGCCGATGAAAAACATAATTGCAATTTTGAAATATCTACATGGCTAGAATTAAAAGAGCGGCGAAAGATACAACATTCAAACTCATTAGTGGAAAATAAACTGACAACGGCATGGCAAACATAAAGAAAAAAAACCAAAAAGACAAACAACAGTACAAAAAACACAACATAGAAAACTAAAGACTGAGCAACACGAATCCCACCGAATACCGGGGGGCGATCTCAGGTGCTCCGGAAGAGTAAGCAGATCCTGCTCCACTAAAATTCAGTCTAAGAAATTTAAACATATACATTCAAATAAACATTTGAAAAAGGTGGATTGCAAAACTACCTAAATACTCTATTTGTAAGGTCCACTTTTAGTGGGAAATGTGATCAGACGAATTTCAAACGACAGGCGAATAATAGAATAAACATACGTATATTTTAGTTTAGACAATTTCTAGCCTTTTGCTATATGGGGACACTAAAATCAAAATTGATTCGCCTTCTTTGACTTTTTCACTGCAATATCTAACTGCGATTTTATAGATCACTTAACTAATTTTTTATTTCTTTATTTTGCAGGATTTTAAAAAATGCAAAATTTTCCTATTTTTATGGTTATTTTATCAATACCAGCATTTACGAATAGTCAAAGTGGAGACCATTTATGTGGAAGTGAATTAACACTTATGTTAGAATTAGTATGTGGAGGACAATACTTTGGCAGTGCTAGTCATTCAAAACGTAAGTTCATGTCAACATCGATATACTAATTCTATGGGTCAGTATCTTGCTGATCACTTTTGGGTTATAAGTTCTTATGATCGTTCGACTGCATTTTCTGAAGTTCGAATTGAGGTATAATTGATTAAACAATATATGATCAATTGTGTTGTCAAGAGGCATTTGTGCGTTCAGGCATTTTAACCACCAGTTTTTGTCAAACATGATTCAAATACTGACCCTTTGTACTAGACGTACGTAATCCAGTATCTAAAGATCAAAGATCGCGATGACATGTCGCTAGTGAGTTGAGATACAGATACATCGTATTGGTCTACCAATACGTGATGGTGACCGCTGTCGATTTCAGTCGTTTTTCCTTATAACTCTGTTTGAGAAGTTTTTGAATAAGGAGCACAATCCTTTTAATTTCCAATCTGTGCACAACTATATATCATTGTGTTAGCCACTTATTTTCATGGAAACATTCTATAGCAATAACAAACTATAAACATTATGTTAAGAGCTGTTGATCTTCTAAAATTGATCGCCATCAAAACATAGATAATTTACAAAACTATAAAAAATACCGTTCGTGCTGTATACTTAATTATTATGTTCACCGATTTCCAAAAAAATGCTAAATGTTATAATAAGGCAATGTTATATGATATCCAATGATACAACTATGCACCAAATGACGTAGATGTTAGCAACTTTAGGTCACCTTACGGCCTTCTACAATCACAAAACATAAATCGTATGAGCTATAAAAGACGTAATGAAATGTAAAACAATCCAAACGAGAAAACCTTTTGACCTTTATCCAATATCTACGAGTACTAGTACTCGCAGATACTGAAAGCTAGTTCAAAGTCAATTAAAACTAATACATATATAATGTTTCCCGGACTAAATTATTAATCAGTACACATCTTCAGGGCAATCTTATATAAAGACGTCAAAAACAGTCTCATAAAACATGAACTTTTGCAATGACAAAATATAAGAATCGACAGGACGTAGGACTATAAATTATAAATGTTCATAATTGGTATATCAATACATAATTAAGGCCATTTAGATTTTAAAAATCTACAAAAAAAGTTATTAAAAATATAAATTTCCAAAAATGTGATTGCCGAATTTGCCAGAATGTTTTGTCAATGAATAAAAGAGTCGCCTTTTTCGTGTTTTTAGTAAATGTGAGAATTTATAGGTCAAATGTATATCAAAATCAAAGTTTAAATATAAGATAACCGCCAATAATGAAACATAATAGCATACAGTGGTACAAACTGTAGTCCGCTTGAGTTCTAGAAATCTTAAAAAGTTAATTATCAAAAATGTGATTCTTTTAAAATGCATTTAGGTTTGTTGTTTAAAAATATAATATAGTATGTTCATGTATTCAGGTAGCATATGTATTCTGGCAATTGATTTCAGATTTCTTGCTGAAGTAATTTAACAGTTTCAAATTTAATCTAATGTTAAGATTGTAATAACAAGGTAAATAAAAGGTTACGGAGTAAATGAATTGAGCATGACAGCAACTGGTCTAGGTTTTATTTTTTACAATTCTACATAACTTGATTTAAAAGTGAAAGTAGATCACCTTGGTCCATATTTACTATAGGGACCTAATGGCCAATCTCTAAATTTATTTTTAATTCATTGAAAAAATTGAAAACAAAATCTTGCAAAAAAGTTCGTAAAATGATAAGAAAATAATTTGAATTCAGCTACCACATTTAAGAAATTTGATTTTTAACAATTTATTTTTGAAGATTTATATATAGAACTTAAATTGACTTTTGAATATGTGCTAGTGAAGCGCTTTGGTGCATCAGTTAAGCTCTCAAAAGCTTATTTTACCTTGTACCACAGAAAGTATACCTGTCATTAAGGACAATGAAAATATTTTTAATAAAAAATAAGATAGATTTAAAAATCACAAAGCTAGACAAACAATATATGTTATAATTTTATATGTAATATAATGATTGTAGTCGTGCATTTTTAAAAGTGGCTGGGAATTAAAAAATCATGTTGTGGTTTACATTTAGGGGCGTTTTCAAATATTGCTGTGGAATGAAAATAAAAATAATAATTTGATGAGTCCGAAGCCCTTTTCTGGGCTTAACTTCATCAGCAAAACACTAACTCAAAAAGTCGTAAATCAAGGATGTATAGGTTTTGAATACGTGAAAAGATCTATGACCATAAGTGACATAGAAGTGATAGCAAAATCTATATTCGGTCAACTTTGCCTAAGGTCATAGGAACCTTATTTTACAAATAATTTCCAAGATGATCGAGGGAGAATTTAAGAAAGGTTTGTTATAAAGCAGGTCAGTACATAAGGACAAATACCTCGGGGACTAGCAGTCAACCAGTAGCTGTATCGACCCAGAAAAATGAAAATAATGATAAACTTGTTGCGTGCAATACTTTTCATTTAACTTTGGCTTACAAACGACAAATGTATTTAGGTGCTTAAGGGTTTCAATGCATAAGTATACGCTGGCTTAAGGTTAATTATAAAACATAATCGCCTGAAAATTTATTAAACAAATAATTTCTACTTCTACTAGGAATGATTTGAACATTTCTAAAATATGATATTTGGGGAGGGAAAATTTGTGTTTTTCAAATAAAATGGAAAATATTATATCCCTTTTAATTATATTCCATTGTCTCGATCGTGATAATGAAAATGTTATATCGTACTGTTTTTCAGGTTCGTCGCTCCTTTTTTCTATAAATGGCAATAAAATGAAATCATCTGAGACTCAAAAAGCAGAATTAAAATCTATTAATTTACAGAAACGAGCTGGTGTAGTAGATGAGTGTTGTGTCAGCAGTTGCACATTTGAAACTTTACAGTCTTATTGTCTTCATCCTCAATCAGAGACACAGAACAGTGTAAGTTTTCATTTTCTTTTCGAAAGCTGGTTTAATGCCCTTGTACACTATCAAAGTTTTTCATCACAAACCATTTTAAAGTGTTGTATGACAATATTTTACATATGGAACTTTTACAAAGTAAGTTGTGTACACAATCAAAACTTTTGACCCAATAATTCATATGAAACTAAGATACTGCGACTCTTAGGAAAGATTAACATACCTTAGAGAAATGGTTTCTCGTGTAAAATGAATTCAGATGAAACTGGCCTAACGTCTTTATCAGTTCACCAGGTATCTTATGCCCAGTTATATTTCTGGCCATTCTACTCCTACATAATTCGTTTACGCTGATGCATAACAGAAATAAAACAATTAGAGGTTCGGTTAAACCATCCCTTATTCAATTTTACTTGTTCTAGTTCTTTAAATGATCTCAAATTCTGATAAAATTATTTGAATCGATTTAACGTATAATTGAGAGCTTGCGTGTAAATTTATTAATTTATCTTTTGATGAATGTGAAATTAGAAATAAAAAAAAATCAAATCCAAATGTTAGTAATAAAGCATAAATTAAAATATTTTGTTGAAATATTGATAACTAAGTTTACGGACAAATCTTCCAGAAATTAATTGAAGGATAATGACAACAGAGGGCTTGTGGTTTTTTTTTATCAAGGTGCGTAGCTTTTATAAAACATATAATTTATTTATTTTCAAACTGCATATAAACTTTAACAAAATGTATAGAGAGTTAAAACAGCAAGTATAATAATAATAATTCATTTCTTAATCGTCATTCAAATGATAAAAATAATATCACAATACTGTACTCTTTATTTTAAATCACTCACAGTGTGAAACAAGTCTTCTCATGAGAGTCTAGACTTTTCAGGATTCATTGGCCTAGATCTAACAAATAAGAAGATGAATATGTAACACAATTGTATCATATCTCTATGCCGACGAAAACATTGAAGTGTCCTTTAAAAGATCGACGAAAGTTTTGTTAATTCTTTTTAGTCAATTATAGACTTTAGAAAAAGGATTTTTTACTGAACATATTGGCGAAATATCATAGTTGAGAAATATTCTAATCATAAAACAATTGAAATATTTTAGAATTTGTTTCCCTTTTTCAGAAAGAAGAACAAAAAGAAACAGACAGAATATCAACAACAACTACGCCCGCTGTATCTACAACCTCTTCTTTATTAATGATTCCAGACACAACAACACAACGGATAAGGTCACGACAGAGATCCCGATGGTTTTTTCTTTATGCTTTAGGACGCAACCCAACTCGTCAGCCTCATTATCCTTACTAACTTGCAACTTACTTTGTCGCAAAATATATGTGACTTTTATATTGTGGTTATTGTTTTTTGTTAATATTATAAATGTAGACGCCAATGATTGTAGCGTGTATTTTTATTGAGATATTTTGTTTGCGAGTTTGAAAAAAAAAGTTTCAATGACGTTGGGTAATATGGATCTATGTCATAACTACTAAATTCACATTATAATAGTATTTTATAGGTTTTGAGCAAGCAATGAAATGGGGGATAGTTTCCTAAATGGGTAACTTTCCCAGCAATGATAAAACAATCTACATTTAATCAAATGCAGTATTAAAAAAAGTATAACTTACAAGTTACAAGTCTGTGAAAACTCATCAAAGATACCAGGCTTATAATTTTCTATGCTAGACGTGCGTTTTCTTCTGGATAAAACTCATCAGTCACGCTCGAAAAAATGCAAGTTAAAGATTATTGAAAACCTAAAATTCCGAGAAGGTGTGCGAAATACGACCAAGGCTATTTATGTCTAAAGTGTTTGAAATAATTTTACATTTATTAAATAGAAAAATTTAAAGAGACCATTAACATACCAGGACTCTATGTCAACAAAAATTACTGACTACTAGGCTGGTGGTACCAGTTATGAAAACTGCTCAATAAATTAAAAAAACATTCAATACTACATTTGTTTTGACTGAAAATCTGTATGGCACTTTAGAGAAAATATTGCACTTCGTTATTTTGATTGTGCCATATTAAGTAAAAATTCTCAATCAAAATCGATAGAATTTCAACCATACTAAGAAAAATCAGTTTTATAAACATTTTATATATTAATGTCATGACATTTAAATTCAGAATCATATTACATTAAAGTCTAAAATTTAAGAATTAGTGTTTAAGATTGCATTGCATTAGAGAGAACTTAATGAGCGACGAAACGAACAAAAGCGTCAATTAACATATCATACGAAATAGGAGCATTCAATTCATTATGCATGTGATGTCATAATGAGGATTTGTTCTACTAGAGAAACGATGAAACGAACGAAAGTGTAAATCTATCTCTCATATGAAAAGAAGCATTACATCAATTGTGCATGCTACGTAAACAATAAACGTTTAATTAAAAAAAAGAAAAATGTTCATGTAAAGTATAAATCTTATTTTGTTGATTCTTACATATTATTGTTTTTTACCTGCGTTCGTGTTTTGTGAGTGCAATTATATTTTGCAATTAACTCGTGCAGGAAAGGAGATGTTGTATTTCTTACATTTGATATCCATGATGTCATTTAGAAACCTTTCTCGGGACTGATTTCATTGAATTATTAACAATTAGTTGGACAACCATGTCATTGAACCTATTTTGAACACAGTTTTTTAATGGCTAACGCTCCATTTTCAATCATGTATATGTAAGTTTTGGTAATTAGCTGAATGAAATGAAACTATGACCAACGATAAATGATTTTACCACAGGAGGTCCAATCTTTCTTAGTTCATAACAATCACATAAAAGAGAGGCGAAAAATACCTAAGAAAAATCCAAACTCATAAGTCGAAATAAACTGACGATACCATGACAAAAAACGAAAAAGATCAAAAGACAAACGACAGTATACAAAACACAACATAGAAAGACTGATCAACACGAACCCACCGAAAAACCGGGGGTGATCTCCGGAAGGATAAGCAGATAAAGACTGACTCCAGATGAGGTACAATATTTATAAAAAAAAACCCATCTGTGTACTTTAAATTTTTTCCTTCAACTTTATTAAAATTTGGCACAATCATTGCACACAGTTGAAGATGTGCACCCCTTATTTTTAATAGATCATAATTTTTGACTCAGGTTTACTATATGTTGAATATAGTCGTGTTTGTCATTCAATGATATAACATAAACGGTACAAATTGTACTGCACTTTACCGTTTAATAGTTTATGTTCTATGTAACTCAAAACATTTTTTTTTCTTTTAACATTATTCAAACTTTACACATTAATTGCACTGCATCTCATATTTTTGGTAGATTTGAATATTTTCTTTGGTTTCCCAGATGTGAGTTTAAATAGAGTTAAAATAGTGGCAACAAGAGTTTATTGATGTGGATTCCCATTAATGAACACAAAACATACAAATCAAAGTAAAAAGCAAAACCTGAGGGAATCGCATAAAGTCCAAATCTTCAGAGCGAGACCGAGTCAGTCGAAAGGGTTAGTTTCTCCTGCAATGCATGCATCTACTTCCGTACTTTATTTATTATTGATGTTATAAAGAGTTAATAGTTTGTGTCATCCGTAGCAACATTCCAGCAGCGCTTACATTTTTACGAACGCCATCATGAGTTGGCTGACCGTTATGGAATATCTGTTTCACAGATGACGACGGATATGTTCCAAATGACTTAACGGCATTTGCGTTCTCTTTTCCTCGAATATGACCTACAGAAATAGACTTATCACCAGGTGTGTACTTACATGAGCAACACGACGGGTGCCGCATGTGGAGCACGATCTGCTTATCCTTCCGAAGCACCTAAGTTACTTCAAACCAGCGCCGTGCGACATAGGTCAACACGGTATTGGTCTTTTTTCACAATGTGTCCAATTAAAATGGGTAATAACTGACAATTGGAGACTTTATATCGAAAATAATTTTTGCTACAGATACATTATATAATTGTGTAGAAAGTAAGTAAGCAATTATCGAACGATAACTCGGGTTTTTTTTTTTTTTTTAGATTTTTCTGTATTTTTCAATCAAAATATGTTTTAGCGTAAAAAGATTGATTAAATTGTTATTTTCATATTAATATTCTCTGTGTGAAATGAGTATAAAAATAGCTAGTGGGCCGCTTGCATGTTTGATGTTGTTTTCGGTACTTCACTAAAACCAAATTTAAAATATTCAATTCAATACTTCAGAATCTTAAACATATTTTCCTTTTTCAAATAAATGGGTTCCAACTTTTTATATCTATATCTCAATTTCTTTCTGGATCATAAAAATATAATAACTTGACGATTTGTGAAATGATTTTTGCACCTTTTTAATTTCATATAAAATATCTTCAAAAGATCTTATTCTTAATAAAATTGAAATCTAAATGAGATTATTGCTGCTTTTTTATCATTATATAAAAATTTCATTTGTTAGTTTATTAATCAAAGGAGTGCGTTCGATAAAGTTTCAACATGGCCCCAATTCAAAGCTTAATCTCCAAAGTAGGTTTTAATACCGATATCATAATGTATCATAGACTTTAATAACGACTAGATAGGAAATAGGTACATTGTTGAAGATTTTCGTAACAGTGTCTTAAAAATCCTACATCTTACATGTTTACCAGATTCAAGTTAAACATGCACATTTCAATAGGCTTTTGGGACCGGAAACATATAGCGCATGCATCGGCAAAAAGATTAGAATATTGTTTGTTATACAAAATGAATTATCTGACCTTACTGTTTAGTTTGCCGAATCCGATGCTCTATGTTTCTTAGGCTTAACTGTTGTTAGAATCCAGAAGATTTTGACAACTTCTGAATTTTTTTAAATTTTTGACCTACTTAACTGCCAAAGCTTTGTAAAAAAAAAACTCGACGAAAATCGTCTCGTTAGCTTTGTTACACATACATGCATCATTTAGAAGCCTTTTAATCTTAAAATAATGGACTTAACATGTGGGGTCAAAATGGGCCATGATCGAACATACTAATTACATTGATATTATCAATTAGACAATTATCACACAAGCATCATAAATAAAGGAACCTATTCAGGAAATATGACACCATTTGTAGGAATTAAAAAGATACACACAGCTTTTGACATTATTATTATTATGTGTAAGAAAAGTCGTTGTAATTACCTTTTCTTTTTTGTTTAATTTACCGAAAATTTTTACTAACTTTATCAATAAAGTTTTTGTATATTGTTGTCGATTCACTCATTTTTTATCACGAGTTGGTTGACCGTTATGGAATATCCGTTCACAGATGACAACGGATATGTTCCAATTGTCGTAACTACAATCCCGTCCCATTTTCACCGAATGTGACCTACCAAATTAGACTTATCACCGGGTTTGAACTAGCATGATCAACACGACGGGTGCCACATGTGGAGCACGATCTGCTTACCCTTCCGAAGCACCTGAGATCATGTCCCATTTGGTATCTTTCGCCTCTCTTTAACAGTTTAAAACAAGACAAATGTTTGATTTTCGTTACACCACATATAATACTCCGGGCTCAATATTCGATATTATGGGATACTATGTAGACGTACACCTTTACTTGTAGCTATATATTTTTCGTCAGCTATATCTATTTTTCCTTGATCGATTCCTTATTACTTTTTACTTGTTTTGGTCTCTGAATTGATCGAGGAAGTGGGAAGAAGGTTGAGCGCTCACAGTGTAAACGATACTACTCTACACGTGGTACCAGTCTTCTTTTTTATGTTTGAAATGTGTTGCTGTCTAACTAACGTTCTGCTTTCGTTAAAATGCCTTAAATTGGATAATTACATGCCTCCCTATGTATAACTTTGAGTGCGAAAGGATACAACGAGGAGTATGTTTTGCAATATACTGTTATATATCATATTTCTATTTTCTAAATATTGTCGACTAATCTTAACAACATGTTATCTTTTGCAATTCATTACCAACTGTGCATGTATATGCATTGGGTGAAGATGAAGTCGCCGAATCGTAACCCTAGGCTAGCAAAGATAAGAGAAAGACAACATTGCGGCTACACAACAAATTATAGAAAGACTACAGCAACAACTCCTCAGAAAAGCTTGGTATTGGTTGGTTTTTGGTTTTTGTACCCCTTGTTGTTTTGTAGCTTTTCAAGATTCTATGCATATTTATATCGCTTTCGTAATGGATTCAAAGCCAAGCTGTATAGAATCAATTGCAATATCTACCGCAATGTTTCATGCCCTTGACATGTCGGTCTATTGGGAAATATTATAAGTTACATAGGGTGCCAGTGACCTATAACGATATATATTGGGTCAGTAAATTCCATCTTGGGTTCGAGCGACCCAATATATATCGTATTATGTCACTAGCACACTTTGTTACGAATT